AGGAGGAGGACCAGGAGGAGGACCAGGAGGAGGACCAGGAGGAGGACCAGGAGGAGGACAGGGAGGAGGACAGGGAGGAGGACAGGGAGGAGGACCAGGAGGCTTGTTGAAATATGGGAATTTACACATCAGTGTAGAAATGGATGATTTAGATGCTGTAAATAGATGAATAGTTGTTCCCAGGTGTTTTCCAGATGTTGGCAGTAATGCCCCCCCCCCCCCCCCCAGCAAACATTGAAGGAGAGCTGCTGCTGACTGAGCCGCTGCAGAGGAGGCAGAGGAAGCAAAAGGAGCCATTTTGGTGCAGATTGAACATTTACTTTAGCAGCTAATTAAAGAGCTTATTAATTCAGGCAGGACTTTGTTCTTTCCTCTGTTCTTCCAGTCACTCATCCAGCCTGTGTGCACATGGGACCTCACTGCACACACTGCTAATTGGTGCATTCCCTCGTGCATTACGGTAACTTCAATAAAGGCACGTTAGAAACGCTGCCTTCTTCTCTCCACTGAGATCGTAGAGAAATAATCGAATGCTGCTGCTGTTAATGTGCACTGGGCTCCTTCAGGCCATTAAACATTTTATGTCATTTTCACAGTCTGAATATTCAGTCCGTCTGTGTTTGATTCAGTGTAAATAAACACTAAAGTTTGTTAGTGAAAAAAACGCATTTTGAAGAACAGCAATAGAAGCTGAAATGTGAAGTTTAAAGTTAAAGATTTGTGCTAAAACAATATAAGGAGCTTTGTGCATTTGTTGTTTTGGTGCAGATGTGTTGTTAAATGAATTAAAGGGCAGATGAAATAAGATTTGTTTCTTTCTGCTCTTTTTTATTTCAGATGAATTTAACTGGGAGTTTCTGCATGAATTTTAGAGATGCTTTAGAAATAAACCGGAACACTCAGAGAATTAGACCCTGAAAAGAAAGAATAAACCTGCAAACCATCCAAGATTTCCCTGTCCAAAGAAACAGAAAGGCTAAGCTAAGCTAGCACCGCATCAAACAGAGTGGAAACACAGAGGTCCATGGAAACTCTGGAAGAGCTGCAGACATCCAGAGCTCAGGTGGAGAGGACAACTGTTAGTCATGCAAGTGATTCCTCCACAGAAGCTGGTGGGTTTGTGTCAGACTGATGATCTAAACCAGGATATTAGCAGAGGAGCGTCTGTTAGCGGCTGCAGAAGATACGAGCTTTATCCAATCCACACCGCAGTGTAAGAACAATGATTCTATCTGGACCAAGATCAGATTAAAACAGAGATCAACTAGACTTTACACCAGCTGCTCTACATCTGAGCTTCTCAGCAAAGAATGACCAGTTAAAAGATACCAGCCATCTGGTTGCAGGGATGGGCCCCGTAGGCTCGGGCCCTCGGCCCTTCAGAGCTACGATGAAGGTACAGAACGCAGATACAGGCATGAATAGTCAACAGCTTAACTAGCAGTAACCAAGTCCACCTCCACCTTAACCCTCCATTCATGAACTGTTGGTCTTATTTAACCAATGCAGCAATCATGTAACGGCTAATTTAATTTTCTTTGTTGGTTTTTTTGTGTGAAACGTAAATGTTGGTGATGAAGATTTCCTGCCATGGAAAAATGGTTTTGCTCCTGGAACTTCTGCTTTCTGAAGAGACATAAAGCAGATTATGGAGCAAAGTCAAAAGGCACGGAGCAGCGGAATCCTCTGGGCCTTTTTTCAAAATCCAGTCCAAGTTTTCCTTTTCTTCACCATAAGCAATGAGATTAAAACAGCTAGATTTTTATAGCATGAATGTGTCTTTAGCAGAGCAAATAAATTAGTTTTTAACAAACAAAAAAAACACTCCTGGTTCAAAAAAGAGGTGTTGAAGTCAAACCCAGTGGTGAGTGGTGGAGATTCCTCCAGGGGGCGCTATTACTTTGTAAACCAAAGCTAATCAAATGGATATTCAGGTATCAGAGCAGTATATGTACATGAATGCCAACAGCAGAAAACAAAATCATCCTAAGTGCTTTGAATCAGTCCTAGTTGTCTTTATCCATGATGGCTCAGTTTGAAAAAGCAGGCAGTGAAAGCAGGATAAAGCCTTAGCCTCGCTGCATGCAGTCAGGCTCCCTGCATGCAGTTAGCCTTCCTGCATGCAGTTAGCCTCGCTGCATGCAGTTTGCCTCGCTGCGTGTAGTTAGCCTCGCTGCATGCAGTCAGCCTCCCTGCATGCAGTTAGCCTCGCTGCATGCAGTTAGCCTCGCTGCATGCAGTTTGCCTCGCTGCATGAAGTTAGCCTCGCTGCATGCAGTTAGCCTAGCCTTGGAGCTAAATAATCCTATAAACCTGTCAATCAGCAGCACTTTCTAACAGACGACGGTGACGTCAGCGCTGTGGAGGGAGGTGGTGAGCAAATAAAGCTGCTTTCAGCTCTGGGTGCAGGAGAGCTGCTCCCCAGGATGCTCCTATCTTAGCATTGAAGAGGAGCTGCAGCGCTGGACGACTTTGACCAGAGTCTATGGAGGAAGATTTATGGAAATACGTCACCAATCCGACGACGAAAGAAACAGCTTCACTGGTCATTAAAGATCAAATATTTATCTGTACATCTAAAACAAATATTAATACATTTGGCAACATTTTAATTCTATAATCACTTTTAATTTGTCTTTTTATGTCTTAATCAAGATCATGGGTTGGGTGGGGCGGCGCCCTCTACTGGCCAGCCGCTACTGGTCACACCTCTGTGGAAAAGTAATTCCATAAAGGAAAGATGGGAACCTATCCTGATAAAAGCCTCCCCCTGGGACGAGGCCCTGGGAAAGACCTGGGACACCTTGGAGACACCATATCTCCCCACTGGCCTGAGAAGAGGAGCAGGAGGAGGTGTCTGTTGGGAGGGAGGTCTGGGAGCGTCTGCTGAGGCTGCTGCCCTGTTTTCCTTCCTAAACATCTTCACCTCCATCGTATTCCTGCTAATAAGAAGCATGAAGCTGCTGTCCTCAGGGAAATGTTACAAAAGGCATTTTAGCTTCAACGTCACTTTTCTCTGTTATTAAACTATAAATTAAGTGAAAGTCTGTGTTTGAAAATAAATGAAGCAAAAATCCCTGGAAGTAAAAACCAAACAGGACAGACAGAAAGGTCAGAGTTAACGGTGTTATCAGGCGGTTCTGCTTGGGATCAGCTAAACGCTGCAGGGATCCTGATCTGATCATCTTCTGCTGACAGCATTTCTGCTTCCAAAGGGTTTCAACTTGTTTTAAGCCCCCCCATCCCCCCGTCTTTTAGCTGAACCTCGTCTCACTGTAGACGTCACACAGGTGGAACCAGATGCACCGCTGCTTTATATGTCAGGCTGTGCAGATTAATGTCAGGGTTTGGGGGCAGCCTGTAAAATCTTAATGCTTACAGTTTAAACAGGATTGATTCAGGGTGAAATCATTACAGGAGCAGCTGCAGCATTCATTGCTCATGTTTAGTCTCTGAAACATTATTAATCTGTTGGTTACTCAATAAGTCTGCAACATGTTTTCTTTGATGAAGCTTTGATTCATCAAATTCATAAAACCAGTTTTCACGGAAAAATATTAGAAATGTTAAAACAGAAGGAAGAGAAAGAGATTTATGACATAAGAACACGTTTTTGGTTTTGGTTATTCCCTGTTTTAGAGAGGTGATGCAACATGGTTTGGTGACCAAACATTCATCATGACTCCCACCTCTGAATCTGAAGCATTCAGTCATCATGGGGTTAAGCTGCTGCTGCACTTCTCCATCGTCTGCAAACTGCAGAATCACTGAAGGTCTGCAGCAAACATTAAGCTACAGCTAGGCTGACCCTGGACAGACCTAAAACAAGGAGCCATGGACACACAATAAGAGGACCAGTCATGGTCCTGGACTGGAGGAGGCGGCTAAAATACCTGCAGAGAAGCCAGGTATGAAAAACAGGGAACAAATTCCTCAGTGAAAAATTCCCAGCCCTGTATTTGAACCCAGAACCGTCCTGCTGCTTGCAGAATCAGACTAAACAGTACGACTAACCTAAGCCTCACATTCTGAATTTCATCTTCATCAACAGTAAATCTGAAAAAGAAATACATGCATAGACAGGTAAATAAATAATACTAATTGATAAAAAGCTAAAGTCTGAGGATGAAATCCTAAAACCAGAAGAAGAAGACTTTATCTGCCTATCAAAGCCAGCAGCATCTAACTGAAGGAAGCAGCCTCTGTCTGTGGCTCTAAGCAGCTGAAGACCTTCAGCAGCTCCAGCAGAACAAGGCTGAACAAAAATGATGCAAAGATCTAGAACCGCTTTAATACAACAAATGGTGCCGCGTGCAGAGACTATGAAGGAAGACTGGGAAGATATAAATAACATTATCGCATTTGCAAAAGACTGGACTCCGCACAGACCCCCCACCCACACACACACACACACACACACACATACACACACACACACACACATACACACACACNGCTGGTCGGCCAGGTCTAGGAAGAGTTCTGCTCGTCCCAAACTTCTTCCTGAAGGATGATGGAGCCACTGAGCTCTTAGAAACCTCGAGTGCTGCAGAAACTTTTTAAGCTTTGTAACTTTGGCCAGATCTGAGCCTCCACACACACACACACACACACACATGTTGTGTCACAATATCCTTGTGGGGACCTTCCATTGACTTCCATTCATTTCCCACTAATTTATATGGCCTAACCCTAACCATTACCGACCCATACCTATCCCTAAACCTAACCTAAACTCAATTCACACCTTAGTCCTAAACCTAACCCCCACCCCAAGAAGAGAAACTTTCCTTATGGGGACCAGTTGTTGGACCCCACAAGTACCTATGAGTCCCCAAAATGTAGCATATTACTAGGAAATTGTCCCCACCAGGTATTAAAGACATGGCCACACACGCACACACAGTTAAATAAACGGAGGTCGATGGATTTCACCCAGTGGGCGCTTTATGTTTTTCTGTTTTTAAAGAGAACAGTTCATCATTCGGCCTTTACTGCTTGGTAATCAGCCCTGTTCTGATCTGGACAGTTTTTCTCTCTTATCTGTGAAGGTCCTGTCAGGGTCAAAACAAATGACAAACACTGTGGTTAACAATAACAAACCTTGAGAAATATTCTGGCTTTTTATGTAGCCTAGCAAACCAGCCCCACCCGCCAGCGGCCAGAATCATCTTTGCCTGTGAGTGGTCTAGCCTCCATCAATGCCCCGGCCCTAGAACTGGTGGGCCAATCACAACGCAGAGATGTGTTTTGAATGTCTGGATGCAAAACAGGCGGGGTTTGATGGCGGGACGACAAAGCTGCACTTCACAGCAGCAGCTTCTAATGAAGCGCTCCATTGAAAGTTAAAACTTCTCTTTCTGTTGTTCAATAAAAGGACGTTTTAAGATCATTTTAGGCAAGAAAATTATACTTTAAAGCGTCACTATATGGTCCATTTACCGCGTGATTAAAAAAACTATTTCCAAAGTTGAGAGGACCGCGACAACCATTGTAGCTACGAGGCTAACGGCAACCAGGGCTAACGTCAGCCC